TGTTGCAAACATGCTATCTGTATCAGGAGCAGATCACATTATAACCATGGACCTCCATGCATCTCAAATCCAGGTAATATTTTAACAGTATCAAGGATACTTATGATTCAGTTATTCATAATATTAGTAAATGTGAAATGATGTTTTTGGTGCTATTTCCCAGTCAACAMTTGAGATATTGATCTAGTGTGTTTTTCTAGGGTTTCTTTGATATACCAGTTGAYAATCTTTATGCTGAGCCTGCAGTACTCAAATGGATCAAAGAAAATGTTAGTGATTGGCAAGACGCTGTGATTGTTTCTCCTGACGCAGGAGGTGCAAAGAGGTATGCTAATTCTTCACAGCCATTTTTTTTTTGTTTGTTTATTAGTGTCATGTCACTCTTTAAAGCATTAAAATGCTTTTGTGAGTCAGAAATGCTTTTTCACAACTGTTGCTAAACCCTATTGTCAGTAGACTTGCAAAGGCTGATACATGGCATCTGTTCTATTTGGTGAGATTTTAGAAGAAAAGGGCAGATTATTTTATGGAATTTTTATTGATCTTTTTGATACACTGTGTACTTACACAATGTACATTGTTTTTCTCGCTTTTAAGCTATCATATCTTTAATTTATGCAGAGTAACATCCATTGCTGATCATCTGAATTGTGGATTTGCTTTAATTCACAAAGAGGTATGTATTCATTGATTTAAACACTGCCAATAATAGAATAATAACAAAAACTATATAATGACTCATGAATCCTGGTTTTATGAACCAAAATACATTAAAAAAATAAACAAAAAATATTATGAGTTTAGCCTGCAAAACTAAACCTATTACACTCTATATTTTGGATTAATTTTTGTTCAYTTATTTGTGATTTACCYTGCGAGCAGAGTGTATTTCCTTACCTCAATAAAAATTCGCGAAGGAAAATTGARGTAAGGAAATACACTCTGCTCGCAGGGTATTTGTGATTATGCAAAATTTGTGTTTTTTGTTTGTCTGTTTGTTTTGAAAGAAATTAACTGGGTAACCCCTTCTAATACATGTAATATTGTTTTTTAAAAATTGTTTGATTTTCCTTAAAGCGCAAAGTAGCCAACGAAGTGGCTAGTATGGTTTTAGTTGGTGATGTTTCTGGAAGAACTGCTGTTCTTGTTGATGACATGGCTGACACTTGTGGAACGCTGACACTTGCTGCATCTAAGTGAGTTCTGTTAGATATAGTGATTCATTTGAGTCTGATTGTCTAGTCTCATAAAACCAAATTAGCTTTCCAACTGTTCTTACAAAATAACATTTCTAAACTTAATGGATTCAGTTCGTTTTGCAAAACAAAATCCAGCTGATTCGTGAATAAATTCGACAAAATAAATTATGTTTTGCACTAAATTGCTTAAAAAACCTAAGATTTATGTCATTTCTTAAAAAAACAAGGACATAGATAATCGGAACTTCAGCTTCTCTGGGGGTTGCACGTACACCCAGTAAACCCCCTGGTTACGGGCCTGACTTTGAATATTTCTCTTTGTTTCACGCGGTAATGAAAAACAAGTCTTTAGGATATTAATACTAATTGGGAAGGTTACATAAAAGCGTGAAACAAAATTTAACTTGTTTACTAAAATGTGATAGTCAAATAAACGGGAAAACTCCTTTTTAACTGCAGTACATTTTGCAGTCTTGTATTAATTTCATTCATTCATTCATTCACACCATTTCATTCACTTCGTCATTTTTTGTAGGCTGCAAGAAGCGGGAGCATCACGGGTTGTWGCGATCTGCACGCATGGAATTTTCTCAGGACCTGCATTAAAACGACTCGAAGCAAGTGCAATTGAGATGGTAGCTGTCACTAATTCGATTCCACAAAGAGAGAAGATGGAGGATTGCAGTAAGATCAAGGTAACAATATGGTCTATTAGTTTTTGAAACTCACGTTCATTAATATTCTCTCTATTTTTTTTTTATTTTTTTTTGTCAAAAGCCTATTGAATAGACTTTCATTAGATTATAATGGACACCTCCTCAAGTCAAGTGTCCGCAATAGCGAGTGTCCATTCTCTGTAACCTCTTTGACCGTTATACAGTCAACTCTCGCTATTACGGACACCCTCGGGACTGTAATTTAGTGTCCGCAGTASTGAGAGTCCRTAATGACGGGAGTTACTTTCGGGCATTTCTTTGTATTTTTCGCCGGGGATTCAGTATTTCCTGTCCGTAATATCGAGGTGTCCGTTATAGCGGGGTGTCCGTAAGGCGAGAGATGACTGTACATGCTAAGCTAGAATTGACCGGCTTTTACAACAGTAATCATTCATATTTCAGTTAATTGATGTTTCAATGATYCTCGCTGAAGCAATACGAAGAACACACAATGGAGAGTCTGTCTCGTACCTCTTCACACACGTCCCTCTTTGAGGACACCRAGATGCTTTCAAAGACCAACAACAACATTGATTTAATACGAACTTATAGTAACGAGCTTTAATCGTGGACTGATCAACGATGTGAAGAGCGATACTAGTCCAGAACTGGACCCAATTTTTTCAATAATTGTACAATATAAAACGAATAACGCACGCGCGCAGATCAAAGAAATAGTAGCGYGCGGATAGTGCAGGAAAATCTTTAGCGCGCGCTTTGGATTTTTAACTTTAACATATAATATTATRGTAATTGAGAAAAGAGGGTCCAGTTCTGGACTAGAGCAAACGCAGGAAAACCATGAAATAAAATCAAAGTAAATACTAACAAACAGCGGCTATTTAGAGACAATTTGTCAGTATCAATGAACCAGAACACAATGAAGATGAATACATTGCGTTCTGGTTCATTGATACTGACAATATGTCTCTAAATAGCCGCTGTTTGTTAGTGTTTAGTTTGATTTTATTTCATGGTTTTCCTGCGTTTGCTCTAAGAGTGATACAAGGTGTCAATGATACGATTTTTTCTCTCTCTTTCTATATTTGAAACAAACGGAATTTTGCTTTTTCCTAAATCAGCTCCATCATATTGAAATTGTATTTGTATAAATAAGTTATTAGATTTATTATATAAAAACGGATTAAAAACTTCAATTTTTGCTGTCCAACAATAACAACAATTTCATGTATGTGGCGAGACTTTATCGACAAAAAAATGGCGGGAAATTCATTGCAAATTGTACGCTCGCGCCCGCGTCATACAACTTGTTTGGATGTTGGAGTTTCAATCAAGATGAGGAGTTTTTCGAGAACGACCCAGATTTCTTGAGAATTGTTACTGTAAATCTGAACCCTCAGAAAGAAAATAAACTTTAATAAACATTTAATACTCATTCATCAACTACCAATGAAAGATGAGGCCAAGTATATCTTGGTTGAAAACGAAAATTTTGAGACTGCAATAAAATTGCTGCGCTATTGATCCGTGAAACAAAACTTTTTTTTACACACACACTGGATTTTAATATCTTCAAAATGTCTTCGAGGGGGCCTGGGGAGAGAGAAATGGGAAAAACGAAGGTTGTCCCATTTTCTCTCGTCTTTGTTTTTTTCTCCCAGAGAGCATAGCTATCGATTCACATTTTCATATTTTTCATGCAAAATAATTGTCTTTATTCTT